TAAGTAGAGTTTGTAAATGCTGAGATACACTCAATTACATTTCAGCATGGTATTTCGAGCAAAAACATCAAGAAAACCCGAGGGTTTAGGCATAAGAGATGAATGAACCAATAGGCGGGCCAAATTTTGGTCACTCGCGGGCCACATCCGGCCTGCGGGCCACCAGTTGAATAGCCCTGATAGAAGTCATTTCTGTCTGAGATGCGAGTTCATCCATTTCAGATTTCAAAACAATCGCTGCCCTCTGAGCATCCAGACTGTGTCCCAACTCAACCTGTTAAAGACTTGGACAGTGAGTTATTTACAGTAAAGAACATTGTTGCATCAACTGATCGAAATCCTGATAGAAAGGATGGTTTTTATAACAACTGCAGGAAGCATCCTGTCAGACACCAACTGCTGCTGAATTTATAGAAAAATCTATTTGCTTTTCTACCTATGAATAATAAAYTCAATGGAAAAGTCCTGTCAAGCATCACTGTCATCCAAAGGTTTCCATCGCCTCTCTGGAAATTCATTAAAACCTGCAAATTTATTACACCCGTTTTAACTTCACTGCTGTCACTTCTCCTAAGCATCAAAACTGCAACCTAAACTGCATTAAAATAAGCACACAGTTACCTGACGGGTTCTTACGTCTCCTGCGTCCCGTCCGGAGCTAAAGCAGCAGCGAACCTGTCTAAAAGCATAAATCCTCCTCACTCCCTCCTACAGGTCACCGTCTGCACGCCCAGCCTCTGTCCTCACAGCAGTGACGCCGATTAAAGACTTTGTCCTAAAACAGTGACATCAATGGGCCGGAACCAAAGCGTCCGGCTCGCGCCCTGTGCCAACTTGCAGCAGAATCAAAGAGAGTTCTGTGAAGTTCTGATAAAAATAGTGCAGGCCAGCCGGCAGCACGGCCAGGACACCGGACCCGGCCCACCTTGTGTCTTGTACTGGCAGGGGCGCTAAACACGCTGGAAAGAGAAGTTGTCAGTATGCTGGCATTWGTGGGTGGACTTAAAGACCTGTGAATAGTTGGGAGACACTGAGGTGGAAAAACAAAACAAAACAATGATGAATGTATGCATGTGATAAATAAATAWAACCAGCTTTGCTTTTAATTTGGAGACATTTTAATGAAGGTTTTGGCTTCAAACACCCGCCAGCAGGATTAATAATCTCTGTCCAGGAAGTGCGACCACAACTCCTCATCCATTCATCACGTAAACAACCAGCAGGACCTGAATGTTCTAAATTGGGATCCGCTTCCCACCCAGACCTCCTGTAACAAGGTGAATTACGTAAACATATCAGAGTACAAAGCTTGCAGACAGACAGACAGAATAACTGGCATAGTGGCATCCAGCGCGGCGCCTCCTTTCCCCCCTCTCCATCTGTACTGGCAAACTGTTTGGGGGGGGGGGGGGGTTGATCTCAGCTGCCTCACAAGTGGGAAATTTTCCACCTGAGCTTCTGTCTTTTCTTGAAAGGAGCTCAAAGACGCCCCTGGTTGGGCAGCCGTCTCTTCACCTGATGGGAATAATTTAGCAGCGGGTGGGGGGGGTTAAAAGATCTGACCTCGTCGCGATGCTTGTGGAACCGGCAACGGAAGGGGGGCGGCGGGGTCCGATCTGCAGCAGAGGCTCCAAGCAGCGAGCGAACTCACTCCTGTACTCCGTGTTGATCTAAGAGACGACACCAAGAAACAAGACTTACAGAGAAAAGTGAAGAGCAAAGGAAAACTATGAAATTACACTTTGAGGTGTAAAAAACCACGTCTTCTGGTTCTGCGGAACGGCTGCTGCTCAGTGAAGAGAGAAACTCTGAAACAGGCTGGTTGAACAGCAGGAATCTTTATTTTGCAGTCCAGGAGATTACAGCCAAAAACCAAATTATGGCCTCCAAGCCAAATGATTCACCAAGTAAGAAAGATGAAGTACGAAGGCCAAGGGTAGGGGCGTACAAGCCTCTTTACAGGTTGCACAGTGTAGTTCAACAGAGGCATCATAAATTTTGTCACGGAATACCTTAAGCATTCCTCTTCCTAATATGGTAATATATGCCGAGCTCTGAAGCTGGAAAACCAAGAGACATAACACATCTGTGCATTCCTGAGAAGAGGTCCCCACTCTTGGACACTACAACTTTTTCTGGAAAAACAGGAGAACACTGAACGCTGAGTCAGCATCTTTAAAATGCAAATTTAACATTTCTGTAGGGCAGCTAATTGTCAACTAAAATACTATAATTGTGACTAGTGATGTTCGATACTGCCAATTTTCTTACCAATACTGATAATAAATAAAATTTGTCTGGTATCGGCGATACTGATCCGACACTGATACTTTGTGATAACACACATAATGTGTCTGGTAAATCTTAAAAAGTAGCGTTTTTCAAATCACCGCTTTATAAATAATACATGACATAGTAATTTATTTAATTAAGTCTTTCTAGCCCTGACCTTGTATTTGTTTAGCACAATTTAAAACTCTTATTCTAAAGAAATATAATAATTTTTGAATAATGAATAAAAGTGAGAAATATTCTAAAAGTTGTTATGTTGTTATTTTGTAGCATGGTTTGTGGGTTTGCAAGAAGGTCCTTGGCCAGAGCTAATGCTGTTTGGGGGGGCCATGGCATGAAAAGTTTGGGAACCCCTCATCTAAAATGTAACAACAGTCAAACGAAKCAGATTTTATGTTAAAATGACCTGCCATACATCTATAGACTGACTGATTTACGGCTTATGCATTACTCAAGAGGAAGAAAAAGTAGTTCTCTCCAACCACATATGATCAAGACAAGTGTGGAATAGTTTAGTTATTTTCCACTATTTTCCTGTTAATGATATACTTTATGTGAAGTAACTAAAGTATCAAAGTATCGATATTTTGATTTCAATATCAATTCTAGAACATAAAAATCTGGTATCGGTAGTATTGATATTTCAGTATCGATCTGCACATCACTAATTGTGACATCCCTGATGTTTTTATTCACTAAAACACTCCAACATGTTGGAATCACTTGTTTTGTACAAAACCGTTTCTGATGAGTCCCCCCCCCCCCAAAAAAAAAAAAAAAAAAAAAAACTAACTAAAATAAATGCATTTCTAAAACTAAATATGTTTAGTGCATGAAGTTCATTAAGTTTATTATAATCGTGTTTTATTCCTTATTGGACCACAGAGTTCTGATTCTTTATGTTTTGTGTGTCTTGGTCATTTCTTTATAGTGTAGCATAAAAAGAAACGCAGGTGCTGGGAGGGACTAAAACATAATTTATAGTGAAAATGATCAGAGGAAATGCACTCACTTTGCTGCTCTGCACTGGTCGCAGGCGATGTGGGAGCTTTGCGATCCTCTTCAGTCTCTCCATGAGTTGCTGTGTAAGCAAAAAAAAAATAAAAAAATAAAATAAAATAAAAATACTTGAGTTTGATTCAGCGACCCGTTTCACCTCACTGACTCGTTTCGGACAGCTTCCAGTTCAGCCGATTAAATACAGAAAGTTTTCTCTGACCACCAATAAAATGTTCTTAAATTGTTAACTCCTTCTACATCCAAAGATTCTTGATGAGTATTTTATCATCTTAATATTGTGCTCACTAATCCAAACTGTCTTGTTAAAATGTTTCTGTTTTATGTTTATACTTTATACTAACAATACATGTGTATGGAATCGTTCAATACAGAGCTTTAGGTTCAATTCACCCTATGTATCAAACAATACAGGTTTTTAAAGTTTATTTTATCAACTTGTCTTCTGAAGATGCTCTGTGTTGAAGGATCAGTGGATCTGCGTTCGACTACTCCACCTGCAGTGTCGAGCTCAGATCCACTGAGACACTCGCTGTTTCAGCAACATTTAATTTAAAAACTGTACTTTTGAGGTTAAACAAAGGTTCGTAATTCAATTAAATAAATTACAAGTTAAAAGGGGCAGGGATAGATGTCTTTTTTTGTATCGAAAAGATATTGAACCATGAGACTAAATTATCGAATTCAATTGTGAATTTTCTGTATCGAGCAAGAGATACTTTCACGAGTAGCTTCCTCCACTTCTGAAAAACCACTGATATTTACCCTCATTTTATTCCAGATTCTAATTCTATTTTTTTTTTTACTTTGATTTAGGTCCTGGGTCTTCTTCTGTTTATGTTTTCAGAGCAGGCTCCACTCAGAAATTGGCAGTTTTCCTGTAAAGTTAGCTTAGCATAGCTGTAGCATGAGCTTGTGTGAGCGCAGCTGCCGAGCTGGGAGGGATGAGTTTATTCATGAGAATGATTGACACCAGTAAGACCACCCCCCGAGCTCTGATTGGCTGTTTTTGATAGGGAGTGGAACATTTAAACAAATGGCTGTAGGAGCCAAAAAAGTTTTAATTTTTCACAGATTATCTGTCTATTATCCATCTGTATGGAGGTAAATTTGTGTTTTTATGATTCAATCAAACAAAAAGCATCTTAACAATAGAAGATGCTTTTTGTTTGATTGAATCATAAAAACACAAATTTACCTCCATACATCTGTCAGGACRTAGCGACAGTTTTAACTAATATGTAAAACATACATATATTTTTAAAAGTTACCAACTGCAGCTTTAATTACTCTTTACTTATCTTGTGCTGCAGTGATGCTACATTAAAAGCACTTTATATCAACTATTACAGCAATCTATAGCAATGGCACAGACAAGCAAAGATAACCTTTGACATTTGACCTCGACCTTAAAGCTGGGGTTACGCTCAGTCTGATGTGTATCAGGTTTTTTTAAGTTATGAGTGGATCAGAGGTTTTGAGTGTGAAAAGWGACAATTTACAGGTGTACAGATGGAGACTCAGAGGTTTATAGTAAATAAGTACAAGTACTTAGTTACAGTACTTAAGTAGTTTTTGTGAGGATTTGTATTTTTACAAACTCTTTATTTAAATAGCTACTTTTACTTTGTGACATTTTAAAGCTAAAACTGATACTTTTACTTCTTTACTTTAAAATGTAACACCTAGTTATAAAATTAAACATGTTTGAACTCATCATGAAAGAAGATGAAATGCACTCTAAAAAAAATTAAGTGTTGAATTTACTCAACAAAGTCATGTCAACTGGTTCCACTAAGATTAGTCAAGTAAACTGAGCAACAAATAAACATATATTGCTTATTTTACCCAACCTGGCCGAGTGGAACCAGTTTGGTTCAGTAAATTCAACAGTTTATTTCTTAGAGAGTGTGTAAAACTACTTTTACTTTTACTTTCCCAATTTTTGTGAACACTTTTATAACTTTTACTTGAGTAGTTTTCTCATCAGTGAAATTTATTTTTTACCAAAGTTGTTTTCTGTTCGTGTAATTTTACTTAGTTTTTTTTCAAGTACTTTAYAGACCTCTGTGGAGACTATATCATGATACACATAAAAAAAAATCTAAAATAATAAAACAGTTTATTGTTTATGTAGTTATACTCACGTAGCCCATATCCAGAAACTCATACTTGTTGGCTGAGCTGAGAAAGGCTGAACAGGTGACCAGGTGGACCTAAAGACACCGGAGGTTCAGTGTTTCCATCTTCACARTACAATAAATAACAAGAACATCCAAAACCTGAGAAGAGCATCTGAAGAATCACTGCTTCCTGTAAGGGCCATTTATAATAATAACAAAAAAACTCTATTTTAAACACAATAACTCACATCACTTGTTTACTTTCACCGATTTACACTTTCAATCGTGACATAAAGGATGAGTTCAGTCTAACACAGGGGTCCCCAAACTTTTTCCTGTAAGGGCCACATAACTTTTCCCTTCTCTGGTGGGGGGCCGGAGTCAGTTTGTAACAAAAAAAAAAGTGTGACTATTGCAGGAGTGCCTAAATGTAAAAATTTATTGTTTTCCAGAAAGCACAATCAAATAACCCTCTGTGGGTTCTTCACAGTATGTATTCTGCTGAGCTAACAGTCCACTTTTTAGCTTTGAGAGTTTGTTTGCTCACATTTGGCCGCAAGCTATCATACTTGTCTTTGTGACGGGATTCATAGTGTCGCCGCAGATTGTTTTCTCTGAATACCGCCACCACCTCTTGACAGATGAACAAAAATAATAATCATTTGTCCACTGCAGCTTAAATGCCCTGCATTATGAATCAATTTTTCTCTTACCTAATCTTTTCACCATTATTCTGTTATCTCTTTGAGAGGGGCGGGTTTAGGATTTTTTTCTGGGGGTTGCCAGATAGGGGCACATACCGCAGAAGGGTGGAACAGAATATCACGTTATATGTGTGTATGTATGAAATAATTACTAACTAATAATAGTTAATAATGAAAATAGTTCATAATTAAGGAACATTTTATTGCAAAAGTCCAACTTTATAATCAAATATAAATACACATATATGAAAAAATAACCTAAATGCTCTCTGGTATTGTTCTGGGGGCCGGACCAAATGGGGAGGTGGGCCGGATCCGGCCCGCGGGCCGTAGTTTGGGGGACCACTGGTCTAACACGTTCAAATGGTTTCTGAAATAATTTACTGTCTGCGCTTCACCTGGAGTGTTGGTAGGAGGGCAGAAAGGTGTGACAGTTGCTCCTTTAATGCTTTCTCCTTCTCCTCGTGCTGACTGCAAACACACACACACACACACAAACACACACACATTTGTAAGACTACACCTTCAAATTGATGCCTACCACAATACACAAAGGACTCGGCTCAGGAGGTGAAACCACAAACAACATACTCAGTGTTTCCAGGAGCTAATCTATCTGTCCTCTCTGGTAACAAACACACAGCAGCACAGACGCAGGGACGAACACATAAAGTGTGACATAAATAGCCTTTAACATCCTTCTGGGAACCCAACCACTGGATGGTTTCCAGGCAATACAGAAGGGTGGGGGGGGGCAAAATGGAGGATGTCGGCCGCAAAGAAAACATCTCATAAATATCCAACAGCCGGAGAAATTCACCATATTATTCAGATTTAATCACACAGAGTTATATCCATCAATGYAATGAAGAAGAAAGGCCTGAGGAAATGTTAAGATTGTTCTTTTTATCACTCTGAAAATGAGAGTTTTTAGTTTGTCCAACAACAAGAAGAAAACCAGGATTTAACATCATAGCATCGAGGCGTTTCCTGAAAATATTTAGTAGAAAACAGTCGAACTCTGCACAAACTATGACACAAGCAACACTTTTGCAAGGTTTTCTGATTTGAGGTCCTGCCTGCAGACTCCATCCAGAGCTTCTCGCTGCAGTTGCTGATGCAAACCTTTCATTTGCATTTTTGTAAAAAGCAGAACTCTGCAGGTGGCTTCGCTTTTCTTAACTGGATCTTTGCACGAGTTGGACGTCTTTTTTTAAAAAACTGTAATCGTATTCAAGTCCTTTTAATTCAGCATCATCCTTTGTGAAAATGTTAATGATCACACAAAAAAAAAACTGTTTTTACTGCTGAAAGCGATTGTATCGAAGCAAACAGCCATCATCACTGAGATCAGTGGAGCTCAGTGCAATAAAAAAATCTTAACTGGTGTCAGCAAGAGAATAACACAAAAACTGTGGCAAAAAAACATAAAATCATCTTGAAATAAATATATAATTAGTTTTACCTCTGAGCTGCTCTCAGCAGAACCTTTTTCCTCTCTGCTAGTTTCTCCTGTCAGATGAAAAGTGAGAAAAAAACAACTGTTATTCCTCACACTGCTGTGAAAATGGCCTTGAGCTCTGATTTATAATGAGTTTTCACAATTGTGTAAAAAAAAAAAAAAAGAAGTAAATGGTGAAAATTTCCCAGTGGCTGTTTTGGGTTTCTTTTTATGCAGAGAACTCTTTTCCTCACATTTAGATGAACAGAGACATCCAGTGGTCGAGCAGTGCTGACAAGTTTTAACTGCTAAACCAGGACGTTTCAGCCTTTATAACAAAAACTGCATTTATTTTGACACTTTTTCTATTAAATAAGTTTTCAGATGTGTGAAATATGTGACCCATCATATCGAAATGAGGGTTAAGTCAAATTTGGTCAAAATGACCTAATTATATGTTCAGATTCTTAGCTTTAAAAGATACATTTTGATACCTGGATCATTCTGATATCATAATTAAATCCATATATATGACTTAGTCTTGTTGGTTACAATAATACATAAATATTTGGTCTGAATCCTAATTTTATGTCCTTTTAATGAGGAATTTTTGATGTCCTTCCATAGAGGAAACCTCAAATTATATTTGAATATTGAGATTTCCCTGCTAAAAAGAAACAAAACTTTGCTAGCTCACAGGGAAAATCTCAAAATTTTAAGGCGTTTTTCCTCAAAATCATTTTTTGTTGCTACTGCTCAAAAAAGTGCTTCAAAATTTTGTTTTATGATTATATTTCAGACGGTTCATTCAAACGATACATTGATAATTGATCATTATATTTTTGACAAAATGCAATTTTTGTTAACAGTTTAGTCAAAACACTATATTTGCCTATTTCTCCATATACCACTTTTGGACTTAATCCTCGTTTCGATGTGTTGGGTCACATATATGAAATATAAAAAATAAATAAAGTGGTGCTTCAGTAAGTTTTATATAAATCCTGTGTATTAAATAGTGCCTAGAAATAGATCAATAACGGTGATAAGAGATGTTTAGGATGAAGAGGTTTGACAGTGTGGATGTATTAGTAGTATTCTGATTCAGACAAACAGTTTATTTAACCTGTAAACTGTTGAAGAGGCTGCAGATTGCACTTTCTTCTTCCTCCACATTCAGACACACTTCCCCGATCATCGCTCTCAGCAGGTGGATCGCTTCTCCTGTGGACGTCTGCAGCTCCTTGACCACCTGCAGGACAGAGGCCAAACACTGCCTGAAAGCTGCTGTGTGCACCTTAGTTGAAGCTATGTGATATAAATACATTAACTAAAGCATGATTTTATTTTAAACCTGTCATTTGATAAAGCAAAACCAAACAATGTCTCTTGACAAGAGCAAAACATGAGCAACGAGGAAGAAAGATTAGCAGTAAAATTCCAATAAGATTGTTTTAGTTCACCGTGTCGTTGCAGTTTTTTGCGTTTTATTTTTCTCTCTTAGTTCTGTTGAGTTGCTGCGAGTGTCGAGGGCGTAACTTTACGTCCACCATTGGGAGAATTATGCTTTGTGCCTATTTACTATTTATTTACTCAAAACCATTCAGGATATTTTGGGGTTAAAATACGTTACGTCTTAACTTTCCTGTTTTCTTTGTATTTACTATGATACGATCTCGAGTWTAACACGATCACAATTTTTTGAGTTTAAAAATCATTTAAAGTCTAATAATCAATAATCCATGTTTAATACTACCGCCCCACTTTATGGATGATTCTTAGGGTTAAATGTCTAGTATTGTACATGCATAAAAAGAACATATAAAATGTTTAAGATGTGTTTATTAAATTTTAAAGATGTGTTATATGACATAACTAAATTTCTCAATTTTTCAAGAATATGTACCACAGTTTGGCTGGGAAAATGACAACACGTGATTCAACACAGACCTGATGTGACAAGAGCAGACTAAATATAAGTATAAGGTGTATTTATATAAATTGTTGATCTAGAGGGATTAGATGTTCTTGTCTTTGTTTTGTTAAGAACATAGACTTTTTTGTTATTTGAACTTATTCTAGAAAAAAGGGGCAGATATAAGATTTTTTCTTCTCTCTGCTGCCTTTCATTTCATTTTATTTGTGATTTTGATATGCATATATTTTTTCTCTCATTTTTCCTTTTATACTTTTCTTTTTATTGTTTATTGTATATAAAATTATTTTTTTGTTTTAATGAAATGAATAAAGAATTGAAACTGAAACTGAAGCTGAAAACACTGCATGTTATTTTCAGTAATTATGTCTAAACGTACACATATACCTAAAGACAATGAGAGAGTTGCAGCTACTTAACCAGTTAAGTTCTATTGTGTTAGAGCAAATGACGTCATTTTATTGACTGGATCAAACTATTGTGGGGCTCATAACTCCCACTAACTAATCATGCCCATGGCAAGTGTTGTATAAATGAGATGAGCAGGCAGGAGTGTCTCACCAGAACCGCTTGGTCCAGCATCTCACAGCCGTGTGCGTAAGCTGTTTCTATATCAATGCAGTGAGTTCGACTCTCCCTGCAGAAAACACAGAACAGTGAACCCGCCCCATATACACTATATATATA